GGTCAGCATAAGACCACCTGCCAATGGGCACTGTGCTCTCCAGATGAGACATGGAAGAAGGCCCAGAGAGGGGGATCCTTTGGAGAGCCCTGTGCCACCAGTGAGGGGGTGCTGGCCTCCTGCATCCAGGCAGCAGGCACATGTGACCACCTTACTTCTGCTGGCCAGGGTGTCCTACCAGTTGCGGTGGACACCAGGCAGCTCCCCAGCCTCCATCTCACCACGGTGGTGCCCCCAACTCTTTCTGCCCCTCACCTTTCACCTTGAGCTGGAACTTGGCCAGACGCGTGCCAGGAGCCACCTGGAGGTCTTTTAGATCCTCCACCACCTGGGGCAGCTGCCCGTCATCCGTGGTAGACTCCGTTCCCTCTTGCTCCCGGCTGGCAGGAGAACAGACAAAGGGGGTCACCGTGAAGTGGGCCAGCCAAGGGATCCAGGGTGGGAGGGCTGCTGCAGGGGTAAGGGTCAGGCATGGACAGCTTGTGAGGTTCCCTGTTTGCTAAACGGATGGACAGATGGACAGAAGGACAGACGACTGCCAGGGCATGACAGAAGGTGCCTGGATTTGGTTTCCCTTGGTCCAAGCCCCACCCCATGCCAGCACCATTACTTCCACAGAGGCCCAGGATGGTCCTCTGCTGGGTACTATATATCTCTGCATGGCCCCCTACCTGGACAGGTAGCCCTGGGCGCTGAAGTACGATGATGTCTCTGTAGCATCAGCTGCGGTGTCGTAGTCTGTGCTTGTCACTAGGGGAGGAAGGGTGGAGCTGGAGAATGGCCTGCGTCCCATCTGCCCAGGCACGGGCCCTCAGCAGTCCTGACTCTGCAACCTTGCCTGGGAGCCACTTTTACGCAGGCCAGGCTGTTACCAGCCCCATAATTCCAGGCCTGTAACTAAGTACAAGCTTCTCTGACCCAATAAATTGTAAATATAGTTTCATAAATGGCAGGAGGTAACAGTGGCAGGAACTTCCAGTTCCATCCTTCTAGAGAACATGGAATGGAGAGATACCAGCCTCAAAACCAACAGATGGGCTTCTCTTAGTGGCCCGCACCCAGGCGCATGGCTGCATGAAGCAGGAAAGGGAGGCAGAGCGCGAGAGGTCCTCTCCACCCTGGCCACGTCTGGGCCAGAAAAGGTACAGGAAGAAGGAACGGAACCAGAAGGAAGAAAATTTGTTGCACAGCCAAAATAGCTCTCCTCCTCTATTGTAGCTGTTCTGCTGGCAATACAAACTTTCTGCTTTCAGGTTCTGCAGCATTTCAGACCTCGAGCACTGAATCAGGATGGGAAAAAGACATTGTGTTCCTGCACTCAAGTCCAAGTTGGCAGCAGGCTGTTGCGGGGTCAAGAAGCCCAAGTTACCTGGAAGTGGAATGCACAGTCACGGGAACCAGTCCACAACTGTTCCTGGCTCTAGTTCAGGACCTCTACAAAATCACCAGCATGTGGACAGCAGCAGTAGACGGGAGAATGTGTCGGACTTAATTCTGGGACCTGGAAACTCTCCCACCACACGAATGAATCCCTCTTTGGGAGTGCTGAGCCCTATCCCTCGGCCCACCGGAACTGCCAACACCATAAGAACCTGGGGGTGACTGCAGAGATGTGCTGCTACTGTTTTGACGTACTCGACTGTCACCTCTATGGCTTC